ACAGTTCTGCTTAACTTTTATCTCACATACAGGCTTCAATCATCACACAGCACTTGCTTCCAACACATATTCATATATGTGAGCCTATGGCAGTTTCCAACAGGTTCTTCAGAGCCACAAGCTCAGCCTGATTTTATAGCCTGATCTGCAGTGACCACCCCGCAAACCATGTCACTTTATATGAAAGCCAAGAAGTTATTTTCACTATCAAACAACTTTATAACCTTGTTTAAAACATTATTTTGTTTAATTTCTTCATCTTCACTTCAAACAGGTTTTTTGTTCCTATTTTTTGTGCTGCTCTTTTCTAAAGATGATGAAGCACAATGCTGCAGCTCAAATGCAAAGACTCACCTGCCCTGGCTGCTGAGAGGTGCTAATCTACAACATGCTCTTGATTGCCTGGCATGATGTGCAAGACAAAAGCACCTCAGGTTCCAGATCAACTACCAAAAAATTAATAGTGGCCCAAGTATTATCCAAAAATTGGTAAGATCAACAATCCCACCCTAAATGTGTCTTTCTTTTCTTGAAGCAGCAGTTTAAGACATAACTTTCTGACTATCATAACCATAATTTTATTTAAATTGAAATCCTTCTGAATGTAATTTACTGCCAAAGTTTATTGAGCTTATTTTAACACCATAGTGGGAGATTAAAACTTAAACTATCATTTCAGCTATTTTTATAAAGGTTACATTAGTACTTTTCATTTCTTTATTGCCTTCCTGAATGTCAGGGTGCAGAGCACTCAGTGAAGCCTGGCACTGGCCAAGAGACATAAAGGTCATGCTGTGTGCATTTGCTTCAAAAGTACAACCTTTGCTTTGCCTAGAAAACTACTCACAAAATTACTGGCTACAACAAAAACAAATAAAACAGGAGATCCTCCACACCCAGAGCACCAGAGACACTGCAAGAAGCTCTGACCTGGAGAAACTTCCCCATCCTCAGAACTATCTCTCCATTTTTGTTTCAGCGATGTTTTAAATTCACAGAGCTCACCTCTGCCTACATGGAGGGTCGTGATCACAGCCTCCCATTGCATCTGGAACATGAGGAGTTTGCCAGAGCTCATTTTGCTCCCTCGTTTGGAGCCCTGGGAATCTTCTGTGGGCCAGAACAATAATAAATATTAATATATGCAAATTAATTATTAACAATAATAAAACACATGATGTGTGATTACATATTAGGTGATAACAGAAATTAATTCATGTTGAAGAATGTGTCTGCTCTGGTCTTGCCCCAAGCACCCACACATGTCTCTTCATTGTCAGTGCACCTTAATATAATAATTTAAAAATTAATTTAAAATGTGCAACATCAGTTGAAAACATTTTTTGTCCACTTCAAAAGAACAAATATTTCATAATAGAATTTAAATTGAATTGAGACATGAAGTATTTGGTTAACAGGGCACTTAAACTTTATTAGAGGTTAGTGCATCACTTTTACTGCTGTTGCAGTGTTAATCTCAGGGTTCTTTTCAGGAGCCACTCTGAAGTCATTACTAGGTGAAGACACTTAAAAATTCAGGATGTGAGCAGAAAGAGGGGGAGGGGAGGGTCATTTCTGAAAGGACAAGGAAAGAAATGTTATGGGGCCCAAGCCCTGAGGCAGAGGGGCCATTGCCACCACCCAGCCACGCTTGGCACAGGGCACTGAGATCCCTGGGGCAGCACTGCAGAGCCCAGCAACAAACCCGGAGCTTCCCAGGACGTGGCTTTAAAATAAAAAAAGGCATTCGTGAAAGTGCTCATGCTGTGGAAGGTGTACATGGTTGAGGCACTGGGGCTCCCAGCTGGATGAGCTTTTTGTCACTTCTACACCTGCACAATCACCACAGGTGTAACAGAGAGGAGAAGGCCAAAACAAAGGAAATTCCACACAACTGGCTGAGAAAAATGTCCAGCAAGATGTAAAAACCCACCCAGGGCCAGGCAGCATTCTGGCTGCTCAGCCTTGCTGTGCACTGGGGCTGCCAGTCTGTCTCCTGCCCCGTGCCCTGAGTGGTCCACACCTTCCTCTGTACATCGTGTGGTTTACATCAGTTTAATTCTGTTTCCGTGAGGTTTGACACAACACAAAGGTGATCAACTGCAAACGTGAAGTGTTGCACGGCCCTGCGAAAACCATGGGGGCCCGCAGCCTTCAGCAGGTTCTGCGCAAGGCAGCCCAGGAGCCTCGAGCACCACACCAGGCTTCAGCTGAGCCAAACTGGGCTGCTCTTGACGTTTGAGCGGTTTTCTCCTGTGAAGGGAGAGTATCATGTCTAGCATTTCTCATTATGCCTTTTTTTGGCTATTGTCTTCTTTATCTGGTTTATCTGTTTTTCCTCCCTGTGCTTTGACATAGGCTTTCCAGGGCCCTGGACACCTCTGTACATTACCAGGTACAATGCCTGCAACTCTTGAATGTGCTTAAACTTGAGAAGTTTATTCTCAATTTGAGATCCCATTTAAATCAAGACAATTTTTAGACCAAGAAGTCTTTCTTTTTGAGTTTGCAATATATAAAAGTCCTATCAGTGAACCACTTGGGCCTAGTAGAAATGCACACAACAAAAAGCTACAGCTCTGAAGATGCTTTTTCTCCTGTGCTATTTGTTCTTCATTACAACAATGCAAAACACTGGAAATAAAAACGAAGAAGACAAATTAGAGTCTGGTTAGCAAGGGAGATATAAGCTAATACCAGTCACTGTTATACTTCTGTATGCTGCTTAATGAATCAATGCTGGCAGGAAAAAAGATTGCTGGTGCCTGAGGCACTTAATAACAGTGTGTAACATAACATGCATTTCCCTTCAGGTGTCACTCTAAAAAGTTGGTATGGACAATTTCTGTTTCTAGAGTAATGAGAGTAGAGGGTGATGCTGTCAAGATGAGGAATTTTGGCAGCATTGTGTGAAGCTGCACACAGGCAGGTGCTTGTCACGCACCTGGGCAGGACTTGGGGACAGGAGGATCACCCCAAGGCTGAGGGCAGGAGTGTCCTCCCCATCCTGGGCACCACCAGAGACTGGCACTGCCACCAGCTCCAGGGATGGCAGACAGGTTTAGAAATGAGCATGGGAGCTGCTCATGTGAGAGGTACTGAAAGCATGCAAGCATCAGCTGCTCCCCCCCAGAGCCCACACAGCTGGAAACAGAGAACCAACATGAATAAAATGCAGCGCATGGAACGGCCTCCTGTCAGCAGAGATGCTGCAGGTGTTGCAATGAGCAACTCACAGCTATTAGCATTGACCTGACAAAAACCTTTAATATTTGGCTCCATCTTCATCTCATCTCACATATTCCCCCCACCTTGGGCCGTTGGACTTTCCTTTGGCCTCCACCTCGCAGCTTCTGTACAAGTTTACCTGTGGAAGGAGCCATCATTCCTACTCATCTGAGGCTGCCTCCTGTAGGTCCAGGTCTGCTCTCCAAAGCATCCTCATTGGTATGAACAATGTGTAACCACCAGTGAAAAACTTTAGCATTCATTTTAGTGAAGTATGTAAGGCTTGAACTGTATTATCTCATCTGGCAATTAATACTGTGTAGAGATCCTGCGCAGTGTAACAACAGCTGTAAAATTGCTTCAGCTACATGGGATGCAGAGAGAAGAAATTGCACTCTATGACCATTATTATTAATTTTGAGGTTTTTGACATTTGCTTCTGCTAAATTTTGTAACATCCTTCATGAACGTCTTTCCTTTCAAAATGACTTATTGGCAGAAAAAAATGGTATTAAAACTCTAAAAGGGACGTCACGTCATTTCAGAATGAGTCAAGGTCAGCTAGTTCCTTTTTTAAGTACAAACTCACACTGCTCCCTGCCAGCTAGGGAGAAGCTGCCTGTGTTCTTCTGTCTGCCACCTTCCATGTCTGGGCAATGAGGGAAAATAAACAGGAGACAATGAGAGGGTGCAGCATGGTACCAGAAATAACAGCTGACCTGGTGTTGCAGGGGCCCAGGTTTAAAGACTAATTTCTTAGGAGTTTTTCAGTGAGAGAATCCTAATCATATTGGGATGGCAAAGGAGCATTGCCCTGACACAAATCTCCAGTGCTCTTTCAAATATCCACGGTGACAGCAACTGCAGCCACTGGTTTGTGTCCTTTGACTATAAGCCAGTTTATACAATTAATAACGCATCCCTGCCCAATCAACAGAACGATCCGTCCTTGCCCCTAGGTACTAATCATGTGTCAAGACAATTAATTGCAGAGATGTACTATGTGAGGAAGGTTGCCCTTAATGTAAAATGTGGCAATTCTTCTGAAGGGCCCAAGGCAACGATCATCTCAATATCCCTCCTTACAGCAACGCTGCCCTTTCTAAATGAGAGAGGAGAACTTAGTCAACATGAGACCTAAAAACAAACCTCCCTCTGGGTCCGAGCCCACGAGATCCGGAGCACCCTGCCACCTCTTGCCACGCTCTTCAGCAAAGGTTACAATTTTCCACTTACACTGGATCAAAAGTCCCTGAATGGCTAAATTTAAATGCTGATCCCCACAAAGGATTTTTAAGAAGTTGGGTTTTTTTATCCCACCAACTTTCCTAGTTCACAAGAAGCATTTCCCTCACAGAAGTCTGATCTGGTACCAGGGAAGGCTTGGCATCAATTTTCACAGAAATATGATCAGATCTCATTCTGATCCTCATTCTGATGGTATTCACCATCTTACTGGGTGTGTAATTGGGTGCAGATGAGGGGAATCAGCAGGGAGCCTGAGGACACGGGTTTGGGCATGGAAATGAGTCAATATGTCAAAGTACTCTTTGTTTCACTTGGTCTACTCTTCCTCTTCTTTCTCCAAGGGAAACAGGAAAATCAAACAGGTCTGTGCAAGGAGAACTAAGTCCTCTCCAGTGAATCCCTCCTTGCTTCAGCCTCTTGACATCTGCTCTGGCACTGCTCCACACTGTCACCTGTCCAGGGACAGCCTTGTCAGGTGATGGGGACAGCTCATATGATGATGATTAGACAAGGAGCAACCAGAACCTCTTTGCCCCATCTGCAACCCGGTTGTTGTCAGGGACCTTCCTTCTGGGTGCGAGGCTGCTTTCAGCAAGAACCATGGCACAGCCTTGGTGCCTGAGAGTCGCAGCCTCCCCACTGCCTCACCTTGTCTTTTGATTTTTCACTTTGACTCATTGCTGCCAGTCATCCCTGTCATCAATAATAAGAGGTGCTGGGGTACATTTTTCAAATGCGTGTGCTTAATCATCTTGATATCTGAGAGGAGCTGTGTAAATAAGAGCTTTTATCTCCTTTTCACAGTGGCAATGTGAACGCTCCAGGGCTGCACAGGATGACTGTAGCCACACAAGGTTCCAGCAGCAGTGTGCATCCCGTTGTGCAAAAAAAAGAGGAGAAAAGTCCTTCCAGTCTGCACCGGGTGAATTTTACCTCATGCACCGCTTCGGGATCTGGTGAATGTCACCAAATCTATTATTGTGGACTCAAGACAACCTTCTCCCACTTTGATGTAGCTCTCCTGGGCTCATCCTTACCAGGAAAGGACAGTCTTCCTGGCTGCTTTGGTATGTGCCATTGCAAGTCCACCCTGCCTGTAACGTGTGGCTCTCCTCCTCCCGCTGTGAAAGGCCACCCGTCCCCTCATCATCGGTTTCTTTCATGTACAACAAATTGTACTTATAACAGGAGAGCCCAGGCAGAATTCCCCTGAGAGTCTGAAATTACATTCCTCAGGAACTGACAATAAAACACCACTTGTGCTCTGCCTCTCGTCTGTTCACCCTTTCAGTTAAGCTTTCACCCTGCGCATTAGAGAAATGAGTCATCTTCACCATCTCTCATGCATTCGCATTCACAGTACCTTGCCTAAATCTTCAGTTTCTCACTATCACCTGAAATAGATGCTCTTTAATATCTAATATTACTTTATGGGGAAAAACCACTAAAAATAAATTATAGTTATAACGAGAAGCTTCCAAAGACTCTGATCCTAAAATGCACTCCTATCATAGCAAAAGGGAATCTCCATGCTCAGTATTAAAAGGATTATTTTTCAGAGCATCCCCACTTTCCCAGATACACGCAGCTCTTCATTTTCACATGAAAATTATTCCATACATTAACAGAGAGACAAAACTCAATCAAGCATGTCTGTCATTGTAATTATGGCCTGGCTGTAAAGCAATTTCACAGAATGGGAGACGACTATGATATACCTACCACAGCTTAAAAGCCTTCTTCATTGCACCAGATTTACATAACTTTATTCAGTGTTGTAGATTAAAGGTTCAGAAAAAATTCATATTTGCCCATAGGGATGGGAAATGAGCAAAGCAATGACACTGGAGGTAGTTTGTCTTTTGAATTGGGTTTTGCACCTGCAGAATTCCCCTCTTGCTTTTTGGCAACACCTTGTGGCTTGCACGGACCCAATAACTATAAGGGACTATTTGTATATTTGAATTTTCTATCTAATAAAAAATAATAGTAAGTTGTGAAGATTGACATAGAGACCTCAGTGTATTTTGGTTTTGGTTCAGGCTGTGGAGTTTGGTGGGGAAAATGTAGCCCTTAACTCTACACCAAGAAAATACACCATGATCCTTGTGGTCTCTGCTTGAAGATCTTCCAGAATTACTATAGCATGCCTTCAAAAAACTGTCCCCAATGACAATTTTAGAGACATGTCTATCAATTCACATTGCCATGTACAGCCATTTGCAAATTCTGACATGCCCTCAAATCCTAAACCTGACTTAAAATTTCTTCAAGCAGTTTCTGACAGTTTAAATAGAAATTGTGGACATTTGAAATGAAAACTGAAATTCTCACTCTTGCAAAGACACCACATGATATGAGAGTTGACATGTCAGCCATCCTGGCTCCGGAATGAGCATTCATGCTTATTTTACTGGGAAATGAGCAGGTCTTCAAAAGCTCCTGCTGAGCCCCTGCACCTGCAGGAAACAAAACTCTCCAGCAGCCACAAGAACCTGACCCAGTTCTGCAGAGCTGCTGGGTTCAGGTTGCTCTGGCCCTGGCAGAATGTGGTTGGGTGATGCACTGTGCTCCTGAAAGAAAACAGGCACAAATCGTGAAGTCATAGAATAATTTAGGTTGGAAAGCACCCAAAGATCATTGGGTCCAACATTAACCCATACTGCCAAGTCCACCACCAAACCACATCCCTAAGTTACAACAGAAGTCTCTCCACACTGAGAAATTGAATACACTTTGAAAACTCAAAATTGCCAGCCCTGATTTGGTCAAATCAATTCAAACAAAGGTTGTGTGGAAACTTTCAAAAAGCTGATCACATTTTCTAAGGAATGGCTGAATCATGCCATTTTCAGAGAGAAAAACCACAATGATTCTTGGCAGTGTGCAACTTGTTTCCATAGGGCCAAAGGAAAAACCCAGGGCCAGGGTTGCCTCTCCAGGGTAGTTGGTCAGGGGTGCTGATTTTTGTTCTTTATTATAAAAACTCTCTTTTGCTTCTTCAATAGAATAAGCAAAATTATTTGATGCCATTTCACTTTATATTTTTCCCTAGATCCTGATTCTTCAAAGCTAAAGCTGAGCTCCCTAGAATGACTCTGGAGCTGAAACGTATACCTAAGCACTTGGCTGAATCAGTCCCTCTTGAAGTATAAGGAAGAAGATATTCAGGCTTTCTAATCCAGCAGCACAGCAGGGAAACTGCTTGTCTCTGCGTGATTGTGTAATTGCTTTTCAAAGAGAAGTGAGTTTCTCTATCCACATTGCACTAACAAATCTCAGAAGTCACTTTGGTCTTCCAGCCTAACTTTCAACATTATTTGTTATGGATAAAACAAAAGACACTTCTATTTCCATAGCTGACAAGCTTTGCCTCAGGGCATGCATTTATTTTCCATGCTGTTGATCTCTTCCTCCCTGTATCAGGCTAATTCATCAGATTAATAAAGGACGATTTAGCTTCCTGCAGGGTGTTATTGATCTCTCGGGGAACATGGCAGTTGTTTGCTATGCCACCTTTCCCCTGAGCAAAGGGGATGATTTTTAAATATTTCTAACACTTGAAGGTACAGGCAGCTCTCACCAAGCAGCTACAGAGGAGCAAAAGGCAGCAGCAAAGGGAAAATGTAAAATGTATCACCTGAATCCCTATTTCCCTGCCTCTGTACTCATCAGTGTGTCCAGAGCACACAAAGCCTCAGCAAGGAGGTGGGAGTGAGCACTTGGCTCCAACAAGAGGCTCCAGGAAGACAAGGCACATCTGGATTGAGCTGGCACGTATTTCATCCACCCACGCCGAGCATTATTTCAAACATGCAGCACAGTTCACAGATTATCAGGTCAGAGACGCCCCCTGTACCAGCCCTGTCTCAGACCCTGCTAGGTTCTGTTTCAGAAATGCTCATGTGCCATCCAACACAGAAACAAAAGTGTCTCCTTACCAGTGCTGAAATTCCTCCCTCTATCCCACCATGATCATACCTTTACCTTCAAGGTACAGTGCTGGACAAGGAGCTTTAATTCCCCATAATCTCTCAGTTGTTCTACAGCTCCCTGCATGTCTGGGCAGCAGTCCCTGTCCTGCAAACACAGCCTGGTTCCTGACTTCCAGGACGCAGGGCTTGATGCTTGACCTTATTAAAAAAACAAACAAACACTATTTGTGCTGAGCTAGAAAGCCCAAATATTCAGCCTCCATGACTTACTACCTCATTCTTCACCTTTCTTCTCATTTTATGTCATCTGTGACTGTTTCATTTTCTCCCCAAAACCACAGATAGAACTGTTAAACTGCGACACAGCAACACCTGAACCCCACCAGAGCTAGGCAGACACAAGCTCCTTGCTCCCCTCTTTGCAGCTCTGTTGTGAGGCTTGTAAATCCCTTGCCTTGAAATACACTCAGTATGTACTACATTAATTTTATATAATTCTAATTCCTTAATCAACAGTTTTGAAGAATCAAATATCTCTGTAAATTACAACAACATTATTACCTTTAGCAATCTAATTTGCAATCTCATTAAAAAGATATGAAGTTCTTTTCTGTAACCCTACAGTGAATGGAATAACTTGGAATAAGTCCCCGTCCTTCATTAGTCATACCTCCCATGTGCTCTTTCATGTATGTCTAGGACTGCTGTTCAGCTGGGCTGTCCTCAGCTGGTTTCCAAGGTTGCTTTCCCTGCCACCCATCTGTGATGGCCCAAGCACTGCTGACAACCATTACAAGCACTTCTGAGAGCTGTGGCCAGTATCAGTGACCAGTGGTGGCCCGTGCTATGCTGCTCACTCAGGGTCACTGTGGGACACTCCATCCTGCAGTATGGCCACAGCTGAAACTGGTTTTCCCCAAATATGACACACTTATTGACCATTTCTGCAAGGATCAAGTGCCTTTTCTGCATTATCAGTGGTTTTTCTGCATTAGCAAAAGAACTTTTTTGCAGGGCTCAGTTGGTACATGACAAAATAAATGCCTTTTCTTCCTAATATATTCTGGAAATTATTGAGTTCTTCTTGTATAATTTTCCTAAATAAAAGGAAGCCCCATTTGCTCAAATATATAAAAGTTTTGGAACCAGAATTAGGCAGGGAAATATTTGAAAAGAAGGGGTCGGGGACTGGTTTCCCCCAGTGGCAGGACTCTGTGTGGTTAAACTGGATGATTAAAGTCTGGCCCCACTCCACAATGCTGCCGCTGTCTGGCCATGCTCCCACCCCCCATTCAGGCACATTTCTCATCATTATCCCTTAGCCCCACAGTTTCCAGTCCCACTTAACAAGGCTGTGTTTATCTATCTAATTTTTGGCATGACAGATAAAACAAAGCTATCCCAAATTTCAGTCCATAAATCCCAGTAAATAGATTGGATGGTCTGAGATTAAAAAGGAAAATAACTGCAGAGAACTTATTTTGGAAACAAAATGAAAGGCCTTAAAACTGATTTGCTGATATGTCATTTGCTTGATGTCATCATTCTATAAGTAGGTTATGATTGTTCTCATGAATGCAAAATGATATGCAAATATATCCATCACATCCTGCTGCTTCCCACTTTATCTGTCTCTTTCTTTCTTAGTCTTTTCTTTCCCTTCCCCCAGAGTCTCCCAGAAGTATTTGTCCCACTTGCAAGGCCAGGGACAAAGGAAGTGAAAAAGGCAAAGAGAACCACACTACAGCTCCTCTGACACAAACATATTTGTGATGGTTTATGTCCCTGTCATAACGTGTACAGTTTCACTTCTGCCCTTGAAAAACAGCTGAAGGACCATTGCCAGTATACATGGCAATGTGTCTTTCTTGACAATTTTTCTCTGGTTTTAGGAATCACAGAAAGTTTATAGTCAGCCATCCTCCCTCTAAGAGTGACAGCTTCACAGTCCCAGGTGGTTTTGAGCAAGCAGGGCTATCAGAAAGTCTTCCTAAAAACAAAGAGCAATTTGTAGCACAAAAACAATCAGTGCTCTCCTGCAGAAAGGGAAATTTGAGTGGGGATTTTCTCTCTTACTCTACACAGTGCCACACATCATCTTTAGGGTCCCCAGAACAAGACAGCGCTCAGGTGAATCCCAGTTCAAAAGTGTCATGGTTTGGCACTGGCACAATGCCAGCGCCCCCATGAAAATGCAACCTCTCAGTTGAATGCTGTGAAATGTGGTCGAGAACAGAGCAAAGCAGGCCTAAGCTTAATAACAAAGGGGGAAAAAAACTTTATTAAGCTACCACTACTAGTATAAAAGAAAAAAGAAAGGAAAAAAAACACACACAAAATTCGAAATTAAAACCTTTCAAAACATTCCTCCTCCCACCACCCAACTGCAACAAATCACAGCGAGACACATTTGGACTCTTAATCAAGTCTTCACCCTTCCACATAATCAATACTGAGTCCACCAGGGGAGAGAGGAGTCCCCCTTGCACCACAGACCCCCAGGAAACACAGCTGCCACCTCTTGTGTTTCCATGTCACACGTGGCACTGCCAGACACACCGGCCAGTGTGACACTCTCCTCTCCATGTCACAGTGCTCTCACCACTGTGCATGGACAGAGACTGCTTATAGGGCCCCTTTAAGGATGCTTTGCCAAGGACCAACAGGAACAACAGTCCAGTGTCTCATTTTGGGACTACAGTCCCCTGCCATTTTCCCCTGGGGCCAAGAATCCAAGAACAGAAATCGCCTTCTCTTCTTCTCTGAAGACGGAGGGCATCCTCACACCCTCCTCAGCTTTTCTCTGTTCATTCCTGAACTGGTAGTTGCTGAAAGAGTCTCTTGGCTCACCATTGCATCCCCCTAAAATGCAGTCTCTTTTGGAGGAAGGATTGGTTCGGTCTATAGCTGACAAGAAGAGTCCAGCCAAAAGCCACTCCATCATCTCCCCCCAACCTTCTTTCCCTAACATCTGAGGTCCCAGGCTGTCTCTCTTTCCTTCAAATTGAGGAGGAGTAGTATTTCACAAAGCCTTCATTTCACAGAAAAGGGTTAGGACGGCTGAAATCTGGCACAGGACTCCATCTCCCGCTGGGCATCTTCCCCCCCCTTCTCCTTCTCCTCCGCCGGCAAACTCCCAGGTGTCTGCTGGCTCTCTATCTCTTTCCCTCTAGCTTAGGGGAGGGGGAACAAAGACATCCCAGATGTTCTCCACCCTTCCGTCCGCAGGAGCTGGCCCAGCTCGGTTCTGATCCTTCCCCCCCTGGCCTACCTCTGCAGGCCGCATGGCTCCCCTCCTCCACCCAGCCCGGGCTGGGCAGGGGAGGTCTGCACCCACCTCTGACCAGAACCAAAGAGAGCGAGTTCTCCTGGGAATTCCGCTTTTAACCCCTCTGTGTTCTCAGAGGCGTGTCCACCTTCAACTGGTCACCCCAAGTGTCAGTATCCAAACCTGACCCCTGACTGGACTGACCTCTTCCTTCCAAGAAAATTCTTTTCCCGTGTCAAACCACGACAAAAAGTGATGGAGTTTGATCCTCTAGGATCAGCCTAGAGGTTGATGTGGCACCTGGGAGTGCTGGTGAGGCCTGGAGCCGTGTGCCAGCTGCTCTCCTGCTCTGCCACCCAGAGGGTTCCACCACCCAGGTGGGTGCTGGGCAGGGGCCAGGGCTGGCCATGCCCCACAGGGGGTCTGGTGCTTGGGCTGCCTGCAGGTCCTGTGCTGGCAGCTCCTGATGAAACAGCACAGATCCTTCCTGCTCATCAGCCTGGTGGCCCTGAGCCCTTCTCCTGCCTCGGGGCTGGAATTAAAGCTGCTGAGACACAACATAAGTTGCAGCTTGAAAACGGCAGATCAGCTGTGCACTTACTGCCATTAAAAGGCTTTCCATTGGTCTAGAATTGGAAAAAAAAATTACCACAAAAGACCCGAATACAGCTGTAAATAGCTGAATGCAAATTACAGGGTGAAGCTGAACTCATTGTGATGTCACTTTAGGACTCTGCAATGCACACCCACAACACTGTCCCTTAGCAAGGGACACAGGCTGACTCTGTTAGTCACATTAAAAAACATGGCTTTGGAATACTGGATGTCTCCTGAATCATTTTAGGTCTGTTTTTATAATGTAAAATCAAAGGATTTGAAGCCTTAAAACAAAACTGACCTGCAGAAACTTTGGATATTCTCCACCCAGATTTAAGATCTGTGCTGTTAGTAATTATTAACATATGAGTAACCTGCTACATGACAGCAAATGTATACTATAGACATATTCTAATATATGTAAGTCCATATGTGTATATATAGATGTATATTAGATCTGTGAGTTACAGTGTCATTTTGTAAAGAAGTGATCCAGGGGTGACCCAATTTTCTATAGTTCCTAAATTTCACTCTACACTGAGAATATTTACATTTCAAACCTACTAAACAGACATTGGACAAAAATCTATTCATAATTTTGTCACGAAAGTCAGAACCCAGACTGCCACTCTTCCAGGACAGCGTGAGCCCACCAGCCATAGTCCTTCCCTCCCAGCCCAGTGAAGCTCCTGCTGCTGCTGCTGGGGCTGAGGTGGGAGAGGGCAGGTGCTCGTGCCCAGGGGAACCCAGACAGCGAGGGACAGCTCCAAAAAGGGGAGCTGTGGCACAAAAGCATCTCGGGCAGGAATGAATAGTCCACTCAGGGTGGCTCCCACCTGGTACAAGCAGTGGCTCATCATGTAAGGGAGAGATGGACCAGTCCCCCTCCTCAGTCTGTGAAACAAGGGCTGTATCTTTCCCTGTGTTTTTCCCCAGTCTGCCTGGGAGATCAAAGCTTTTTAGCTACTCTGTACTTTGTGAACCCTTAAATATCTTGTTACGAACTGGTTTAACACACAAGACCAAAGGAAGCTAAGCCTCTGTGAATAAAATTGATTGGACTCAGAAAGGTTCAAAATACACCCAAAAATATTATTAAAACCAAATGAGGTAAGATGTTGGTGTCAAAAAATTGATACACTTTACTTAGTAGCAAAAGAGGCAAAGAGAAAGAGAGAAAAAAGAGAGAAAGAAGAGAAAAAAGAAAGGAAAGGA